GTGAGGGGCAGCATCCTGCAGGGGACACGCACCCAGATTTGGGGGACAGAGGCAGGTCATGCCAGGGCCCAGGTTCCCCTGCAAAGGTGCTTCTGAAAATAAGCTGGGCTGGGCTGCCACCTTGTGCCAACAGGCAGCATCCACTGACCAAGCCTGGCAATGGGACCTTTCTGTATGGATATCCAAAGATTTTCTATCAACACACATTTTCATTGACTTAAAAGGGGATATGCCCTCAGTGTATATCCTGGAATATCCCGGTTTCCAGATTAAGCCCACAGAGCTCAGCAGCTCTCTGCTGACCAGGCAAGGGACTTTGTTGTTCCTCCATGAAGTCATCTTCACCCACACCTTGGGGTTCAAAATTCCCATATCTGTGCAGATCATGGTCCTGTCAGCCAGCAGCTGAATCCTCGGGGAAACACCTGGGAGCTGGAAGAGAGGGTGCAGCACCCCAGGGTGCTGGCACTGTGTGGGGCACAGAATTCCTGCGAGTGCTCAGAGTCACAGAATGCTCTGCCCCAAATGCCGAGCATGACCAGGGAGAAATGCCAAAATTCCCAAACGTAGGTGCAGGCAATGAACGAGCAGCCTCACCTGCTGGTGCAGTCTGCAGTGCTGAGTGGCATTGCTGGGTGGCCCCAGGCTTTGCCACCTCACCAAGGTGATGCCAAGGAGACCTTTGCCTTCTGCTATCAGCGGTGGTTTGCACACTTGTCACCGGCCAAGGCTGACGGGACAGTTGGGGGGCAACAGAAAGGCTGAGACGTCACTGCCCAGCTCGGGCAGCCCTGGCATGCACCAGACCTGGCACAGCCCACACCAGCCGGCTCTTTGGAGCCGATGTTATCTGCGTGGGTAAACGGAGTTTATCAGTTCCTTCAGGTTTTCTTTTTTTTATTATTTTATTTTCAAGGCAGGCATGAATGAAAGGAAATATTTGTGCAGGGAAGCTGTAGGGGAAGAGGCTTAGGAAAGAAAAGGGAATGAGGGAAGGGACCACTCACACATCCAGTGGTGGGACCAGGCACTTCTCCTCCCAGAGCCTTCCCAGATCACTGGCATCCTCTTCAGAGCACATCCCTTATGCCACCCTAAATCCACAGCCCCTCCCACAACTCCCCAGCTGCAGTTAGGGCAGAGGGCCATTAAGTGAAGCCGAACTGTCCAGGACAATGGGTGACCCCGAGGGGTGAAATGGCAGCAGTTGGAGCTCTACATTTACAGCAGTGAAAAGAGAGCAGGGGTTATTTCCCTGGTGCTGAACAGGCACATACAGTCCCTAGGTGTTGTTCTAGCCCTGGATATAGGGTGGCATCCCGGGCTGATATAGGATCCCGAATCTGATCTCCTGATCACAGCAGGGTGTTACCAACAGAACATCGTATTTGTTATGGCTTTGTACTTCAGATCCCCGGGTCTGGAGATCCCTGTCCCTGGGCTGCACAGAAATTCTTCTTGTGGAGCACCTTCAGCCTGCCAAGCTGTAGCCAACAGCCCTCATCCCTCAGAACACAGTCTGCTAGCAGCTCCAGGAGGGATCTCTTGAGTTTTGCACATAGCCAAGACCTCTGTTTAATTCTGGGAAGTCCCATGTGTGTCTCATACACAAAGTCTGGTGGCTGTAGCACCGGGTTGATGACCTGCATCAGGCTCCAGATCCTCTGTCCTTTGTTCCTTGGTCTCTAAGGCCCACCATGGTCCCTTGGGGGTCACAATGCTGCCCTCCTCTAGAAAGCTGCTGGGAGACAGCTGATGGGAGAGGCAACACTGGAACTGAGAGTGTAATGTGGGTATGGGAGGAAAAGAGTAGCCCTGCCTGGCCCTACCACCCAGTGCTTGTTAAAGTGATCTCAGATCCATCATTCTCACTTCTTCCTTTCCCATCAGGACTCTGAATTCCATCAGACACACACAGTTTGGGATAAGGCTTTGGTGGGCACTGGGACTCATTCATCATACCACAGTGATTTCATCTCTGTTGTGATCCCAAGCTCTGCTTGGAGCTGTACCAGAAGGGATTCCCACAGTGGGAATCCAAAAGGGAATGCCATCTCTACCCCTGAGAGCACTAGAGCTCCTCCAGCAGGAAACTCTCCAAGTTTGATTTTTATCTTCAGTTTTACAGACATTTCAGTCAAACAGGTAAACCAAGCACGTCATGGAAACAGGTTCTGGCAGGGGAAAGGTCCTGCAGCACTGGTTCACACTCCCCCAGGAACACTCCCTGCCTCCAACACAGGACCATGAGGCACTACAGTGCATCCTCTCCTTGTGACAGTCTCAGGGAAAGAGGGACAGGCTTTGGTCTTTGTCTCCTCTAGCTGCAAAACACAGGGAGGACAAGAAGCATGAAACCCCCCCAGAGGCAGGCGCTGCAGGAGATACAGTCTGTGCTGCACACCTAGTACTGGGGGTGTGAGAGATAGAAAAAAACAAGCTTTTTGTGGCAACACACCATTAAGAATGGAAGTGACACCCAATGCTCCTCTAGTACACCTGTCCTTTCGGCTTTCTGCAGCTCCTCTGCCAGCTGGGATGAGGCCATGAGTCACCACACAGTGCCTGGTCCAGCCCTGCCACTCCTCCACACCCCACCCAACCTGGCACCACTTGCCGGGGCCCCAAAGCAACGTGACAGCTGATTTCCACCAGCTTCCTCCAAGGTCCTTTTAAAATTCCCTACAATCTCTCCCTGGCAGGACTCCAGGTCTTTCCAGGCTCACTTCTGCACACGGGTCCTTTATTGCTTTACCTACCTATGGACTTGGATCAGACGTGCATAGTATGGCACAGCCTGCTGCCACGGGGAGCATACAGGTGATGCAGGGGTAGCATCACCTCTATAGAGGCACATCCTGCCCCATCAGCACTGGGACATGATCCATGTACTTCTCAAAGGTGCTTTTGCGATTGCGAAACCTACCCACACCAACAAAACAAGTGTGTGCTTGGGGCTGTCACTCTTCCATGATGAAAACCATTAAATTAAATTAAAAGTGGGGCAGGAGCCTTGCTTGTGTCAGCTCCTCAGCATCCTGGAGCTTGGCACATGACGGCCTTTCCAGTGGGAGCAGCCAGCCTGGCAAACAGGCTGAACAGCCCCAGCCCGCTGCCGGCAGGTTGGGGCAGCGCTGGCAGCTCCAGGAAGGATGTAACCCAGGGATGAACTCACCACCACTCAGTCACCTCACCAGGGCACCCTTCAAAGGGAAGGCCTGCAGGCAGAAAGGCTCAAGACGGAAGGACGTCATTCCAACATGTGCTGCTTGGGACACCTCATCTTCCTGGGAAAACACCCTTCTCCCGGCCCTCCTGGCAGGCGAGTCTCTGGAAAGTGGCCAGCTGTGGTGCAGAGCCATGCCTAATGTGCTTAAACCCCTCGTTTGCCTTCACCAACCCTTGTAAAGCCCTTTTCAAGCCCCCAGGGTGTAAGGAATAGATGAAGCCTACTCCTGGCAAGGCCTAGGGTGGGCCCCTCTGCAAAGTAGTATAGCTTGTGCAGTAAGTCTGCCCCATCCCCAACCCTCCCGAGCCTCTGGAAGTTTTTCCAGATGCTCTCCAAACCACCACAGCTTGTGTTACTGTGCCCAGCAAATGGCCGTGGTTGAGGTTCTGCCCCATGGGAAGAGCAATGGGAACAGCCTCACCCCGTCAGACTGCTAAAAGGGGCTTTTATGTCCTGCTCCTTAATCCTGCTTCTGGAGCGAGAACATATTTCAAAAATCAGGGGAGGTTGCTAAGGGACAGTGTGCTCAGCAGGGACATCGCTCACAAACCCTCAGCACTCAAAAGCAGGAGGTAAATAACTTGGGATATTATTAATCCTTTGCTGCCCACACAATAAACAGAAAAGTATTATTCTTGTCAAGGACAAAGGAGCCCATATTTCTCCCCAGCCAAGGAGCTGAACCAGCAAATTTTTTTGATTGAGCTCCACAGTGGGTTCAGCTTGACTGATGTTGTTCCAGTTGAGTTCCTGTTCAGGCCAATAAAGGTTCATTAACCATTTTTTAACTGTGAACTCATTTCAGCCAGTTCACACTGGAAACCACAGCCTGTGGAAGCAGCTGTGTGTTGGGGACTGAGCCTTTTTCAGCCCATCCCTGGTTTCCATGGCCTCTGCCGCCTTCCTGGTTGGACTCCAGAGCTTCTTGCAAGCTCAGCAGAGATGACATGCAGGGTCAAAAGGCAGAAAAGCTAAGTTTTGCCCTGGAAGTCTGTAGGAAACCTGCACCGTCAAGGACAAGCAGGCATGTGGGGAAACTGAGTTTCCTGGGCTCTTCCTGACACCAGCACCTGCACACGTGAAGTTTGAGGCAGCAGCTCCTAAGTTACCAGGAACACTGGGGAACGGCATGTTCCTGTCATTACACTCAGAAATTAGAATGTTCCATACATTAAATACCCTTTAGTGGTGCACAGGCTGAGTCTGGGGACAGCCAGGGGTTATTTAGCAAGAAATCTCTTAGAGCAGCAATGTGAGGCCCCAGGACGAGATGAGGTCCTGTGTTGGCAGCTGCTCCATGGCCACATAGCTGTCCGTAGGACACTGAGCTGCTATTTCTCCCTGCAGAGAGGCACGTGCAGGGCACGGCTGTCAGGGGACCGTCTGTCCTGCTCACAGCTATTCCCAGACAGCACCAGAACAGCTTTATCCATGACAGCACCTCCGAAAATAATGCCCCAGGATCAGCAGCAAGGCAAGGGGTGTGTTGGGACTCGGCAGCCAGCGCACTGCAGGTTCACATCCAGCTCACTGCATGCTAACACTGTCAGAAGACAAGATCTTGGTTATATTTATCATTTGACGATACTGGTCCCCACTATTTTTAGAGTGGTGTTGCAGCTGCGGCTCTCTGAGGAGTGAGGTGAGTCAGTTGGGGGACTGATCTTTACTGAACTTCACCCAAAACTGATGAAGCCAAGGCATCTCTTCCCTGCCTGAATGGCCCGTGGTCAGGCTGGTGAGCCGTGGGCTGCTTCCCCTCGGGGCAGTGTGTCCTGCTGGCATCCCCAGAGGTGGGTGGCAGTGCCCAGGTGCCCCTTGGCTGCTGGGTGTTCCAGTATCTCTGAGCATCCATATCCCGAGGGGCAGCTGCCTCCTTGGCTCCAGCACCCACGGCGGGCTCTGGCACAGGCTGGCACAGCCCAGCAGCATGGATGGATGGCAGAGCCTGGGGAGTGGGGAACACCAGGCTCACCCCACTCGGGACATGAGGCAAGGGACACCGCGGGGGGCTCACCTGGAGCAGGCCATAGCCATGGGGCCAGGGAGGGCCGTCTCTGGGGCTGGCACATGTGGCACTCGTGGGGCTAGGGAAGGGGTGACGGTGGGGCTGGGACACGCTGTGCCCGTGGGCGTGTGCGCGGGTGGGACACACGGTGGAGCCGGGGGCACGGGACGTGTCACGGATGAGACGGCTGCCCGTGGGATGGGACACGCTGTGCCCATGGGACGTGTCGTGCCCGTGGGGTGGGGCCCACTGCTCCTGTGAGGCCGTGGCCGTGGGTGGGACGTGTCGTGCCCGTGGGTGAGACAGGCCGTGTCCCTGGGTGGAACATGCCGTGCCCGTGGGGCCGTGGGTGGGCCGGGCCGTGTCCCTGGGTGGGACATGCCTGTGGGGCAGTGGGGCCGTGTGGTGGGACATTCCGTAGTCGTGGGTGAGCCATGCCGTGCCCGCGGGGCCGTGCCCGTGTCCCAGCCCCGCCGCGGGCCCTGGGTCCCCCCTCAGCCCTCAGGGTCCGGGGGCGGCAGTCCCGCCCCGCGCCGCGCCAGGCCCCGCCCACGCAGCCGCTGCCGGCCAATGAGACGCCACCCCGCCTGGGCCCGCCCCTTCCCCGCTGTCATCACACTCCCGCACGTGGAGGGGGCGGGCCATAGGCGGGGTCTCGGCGCGGTGCTTCACCGCCCATTGGCCGCGCGGCGCAGCGGCTCGCCCCGCCCCGCGCCCTGCCCCGCCCAGAGCACCAATCAGCGCGCGGGAGGCGGGCGCGGGGGGCGTGTCCGCAGCGGCACCCGGAAGGAGCGGAGGAGCCGCGCACAGTCGGGGCCGCGGCGGCAGCGGCGGAGGGGGCGGGCAGGGCCGGGGGGCGCGGGGCACGGCCGGGCTCCGGCGGGGACGGGCCGCCCCTGCGGCGTGCCAGGGGGTTCGCGCGCCCCATCTCCGCCGCCATCCCCCGGTTCCAGAAGGTTCGGGAGGGCCGTTGGGACCGGGGGCCCAGACCGCAGGGGCGAGCGGGAGCTGGGGGAGGCGCGACCAGGAGGGGCCGTGATCGGGTAGTATGGGGGAGGCCGTAAAAGGAATGGGGGACTATGAGGCGGGGGGGACCGAGGCCGAGATGGGGGTCTCTGAGCTGGGGACATCATGAGCGGGATGGGGGTCGGCGAGTTTGGGGGACTGTGACCGAGGTGGGGAGCTGCAGCCGGGACGCTTGGGCCGGCAAGGGGCCTGGCACCGGCGGAAGCTGTGGCAGGAGCTGCCGGGGCGCGGGGGGCAGGCAGCCGTGTCACCGCAGAGCGACTTTGGGGCGGGGGGACCGGGGGGGTGCCCGGGGGAACTGAGGCTGCGGGTGGGCTGTGTCTGGCAGAGGCAGGTGTGGGAGGGACCGAAACGGGGTGCAGGCTTTGCTGCGGGGTGCCCCCGATCCTGGCTCCCACATCCCCGGCAGCTTAGGGAGGCTGCGCTGCCCCTGGTCTCGCCCACCAGGGCCACGTCCTCTGCGCTGTGACATGGGCAGGGACAGCCTGCCTGCAGCCCTGCCCGCACCGTGGGGCCTCCTCCGCCTCCTCCTCCTCCTCCTCCTCCTCCTCCTCCTCCGCTTCTGTTTCTTCCTCCCGCGGGCATCAGCTCCAGCCCAGCCGGGGCGCGGTGGGTTGCCCGGTGGGGCCGGGCTCCCCGGGGGCCGGGAGGAGCCCTTCGGGCCGCACCTGCCCCGGGGGTCCCCGGCCGGGCCCCGGCGTGCGGCTGCGGGGTGGGCGCCGGGGCGGATGTGAACCCCGGCATCCGCCGCCCTCCGGTGAGAGCCAGCCGCGGGCGGAAGGGCCCGTCGGGGGCAGTCACCCACCCGAAATCAGCAGCTGCCGACCTGGCGAGGTTTTCAAGCGGGATTTGTGCAGGAATCGCGCAGGCGGCGTGCGCTCGGCAGCCCGGGTGTCGTGTTTGGAAAGGTGCAAGGGAAGTCGGAGGGAATGGCTGCGTGGTGGGTGCTAGGGAGGTGGGCTTGCTCACAACCCACCCGGGAACATAATCCATCAGTACGAGGGGCACACACCTCCGGGGTTTCCGCGCTCCTTTTATTATTTTTCTTTGAAAGAAGGAGTGTGGAATTTGCAGCTGCTGTGGAAAATGTATGGTAGAGGAATGCTGTGCTCTAAATTTAAATTTTAAAAGTAGTTTCCACTCATTGCATTTTTTGAAAACATCAGACAAGCAGAGATCTGCTTAGAGACCTGCCCTCTCCCTGAATCGTGTCTGTTGGCATCAGCAAAGAGGGGAGGTTGGGAAATTCTGGAGAGTGTAGCAGGCTTGAACCCTGACACAAAGCAGTGTCTTGGCAAGCTTGGTAGCACGAGGAGGTGAACAAGGTCCGGCAGGTGACACAGAAGAAAACTCCCAACGTGATAGTGCTGGAGTTACTTCTGGCAGGGCTGGGCCTTAGGTTGGGGACGGGGAGAATGAAGTCATCCTGTAAAGGCTGGTCACCGCCTTGTTTCACAGCAGCACTTCCCGAGGTGCGGGTCTCGGCGCTGATGGGACTCTGCATGTCCCAGCGTGCAGTCCCTGCACTAGGGCAGGGCGCTGGTGGGAGCTGGCTGGGCTGAGGGGTTCGGGTGGGGTTGGTTCCCAGGGACACTGCTGCCACAGGGTTTGTTGCCAGGGAGTCAGCTTGCCCTCGCCTGACCTCCAGCCCCTGCTCCCATAACATTTAACCATAGCACTGGACTGCTGCTGACTCCAGTGAGGCCTGGACATGTCCCTTCCCATGGAGCCAAGGGTGGTCAGGACAGCAGAGCCCTGCTGTCACCACCAGGCCTTGGTGAGCCGGACTTGTGGACCAAGGTCCAGCCACAGTTGGAGCAGTGCTGGAGCTGTTTCAGCTGTGCCACTTGCCCACCTTGTTTCTGTTCCCCATGTGAGAGGTTTCTTACCCACTGAAAGAAGGAAAGCTGGTGGGGTCACTCTGTACTGTGGGAACTCTGCTGTTCAGAAGCACAGCTTGCTGAGGAGCTCCCTTGCTTCCCTGCTTTTGCAGCAAGTTGTGCAGAGCAGCTCTCCGTGCTCTGTTTTTCATGTCTGCCCTCTCCAGAAGTGGCCTTTAGGGAATTATAGATAATTTAAATTTTACTGGTAGGGCTGTTCTTTCACTCCAAATCAGATGAAGGCTGCAGCCCCTACACCCCCCCTCGGCTGGTGCTGAGCTTTCTCAGCCTCTCTGCCCTCAGCTCTCTTCTCTCTCTGAGCATGCAGAGCAGGAGGAGGAAGTTCCCTCCCTATGTTCAAGGGACCTGCGAGGGCAGAGAAGCACATCTTTGCCCCTGGTCTTCCTCTTTGCTGCCTGCTACAGGCTGCTTGCCCTGGCACATTTGTGCATGACTGTGCTGAGTGCCAGAGGCCAGAGATACCCAAACTTTTGTCTTTGAGTCTGAGGGTGATTGAAGGGGATGGTTATTGATCTGAGTCTTCAAAGTCAAAGACTCTTGGCTCTTCCCAAGTCCTTTACCTGTTCTTACTGCTCTGGGCCTGCCCATGTTTGTCCTCTGCTAGATCTGGTTGGCACCATCGCGTGCTGTGTGGAAATGCACCATGCCTGGGGGCCAGGACACTTCCTGGTGCAGAATAAGAAAACCTGTTGTTGGTAGGTATGTGACCACAGACAAGAAAAGAGAAAGTGAAGCCATATGGTTAGAAAAGTGGTGTCCTCAGCACGCTGTCAATGGAGCTGTAATCAAATTATCAGAGGCTTTGGTAGCTGGAGGAATTAATGAGTCGGGTTTGAAACAGGACAGATGTGAAGGGCAGCATGGGAGAAATCCTGAAAGGAGGTATTTGTATGGTGGCAGATGGTTTGTTGCAGGTTACTTACGAGATTGTTGCAGGTTACTTTGTGAGAGTCTTCTCTGAGAGGCTTTTGCCTGATGTCTCTCCACCTCACATAATTCCCAGGCACCATCTTCTTCCAGGGAGCTGTGTGGGTCTCTGTGTCCTGGTAATGCCATGTTGCCATCCTTCCTTCTGTCTGCAGCACCTGGCACCTCTGCTCCCTGGATCCTATTTTCTGACCAGCTCGGTTCCTTTGTTATTTCATGTTGCTTTTGGTCGTGATCAAGTGAGCCAGGTGAACAAAACCTCCAGAGAACTTGGTTTCACAAAGTTTGAGGCCTGCTTTAAAAATTATTTTCTTTGACAGGGAAGTGTTCCTGTTCATCCTCCCTTGGTTTCACAAAGTTTGAGGCCTGCTTTAAAAATTATTTTCTTTGACAGGGAAGTGTCCCTTTTCATCCTCCCTTTGGCTTTGCCCCTCTCTTTCACAGTCTCCTTTGCTTGGCCTGTGGACACCCAGCTGCCAATTAACATGTTTTCCCCCTGTTTCCGTCTGCATCTTCAGCTGGTTGTGAATCCTGAATGAAGAGCAGCTGGGCTCACATGCTCTGCATTTCAGAGAGCCTTTTCAGGACTGGCCAGTGCAGTTGCAGTCATACTTGCCTGTGGCCTGGACAACACCCCAGCTGAGCAGCATGATGGTAGAACAATACTTGGATGGGAAATCTTCAAAGGAGTCCTGTGTGCTGCAAAATGGGAAGTTAGTGATTCAACTGGAAGTGCTTTTTAGTAACAAATCCATGTCCTGGGCCAGGGGTGATGTCAACGCTGAGATTCTTGTTAGATGTGAACAAAGATGCAAAGCCCTTTATGCATGAGCTGAGGTGGTAATCCAGATCTCCTGGCCTCAGTCCATTTGGGGTAATTGCATTCTTCCTGGGTAGTGTTTTCAACCCATCCCTGTCAGATCCATTGCCATTGCTTCCTGTGCTGCTGCAGTATGTGGGTGGCAGTGCTTCAGCCATGTCCAAAGCAATTCTTGTCACTGCTCAGGCTTAGTGCCTTTTGAGCCTTCTCTGAAAGACAGTGTGCTAGAGGAGGGACTTGGTCGAGGGTTTTCTATATATGTATATTTACATCTACACATGCTGCTTTTACTGGGGCTTGTTCTGCTTATAAGCTCTCCAAAACAATAGTCCTGGTGCCTAGCTGGTACCGCTTCTGGGTGGGACTTCTCCAGGGTTGGCAGTGCAGGTGTCGTTAAGCACAGGCTTTCTGGGTGCCCTCAGGACAGTTTTAAGGGCTGAAGCCCCAGCGGGGTAAAATGGCCTTGCCTCTCTGCACCCGGGTGTGAAGGCTGTGCTTCTGGGGCCCTGGCAGCCTGTCTGCTCCCCAGCACTGCAGCTGGGCTGTGATCTGGTGGTGCTGCAGCGTGGTTGCCTGTGTGGATGGTCAAGCTGAGGAGCAGGGACTGCCTCACAGCAGCTTTTGCCCCTCATGCCTGTGGCCAGGGGAAGGTCAGACCTGATCCTGGGGAGCCTGATACCATCCTGGTTTTCAGGACCTGCTCTGCACGAGGACCTAGCCCCCACAAAATGTGATCTCCAGCGGTCTACAATTAAAGCCCTGGGATCCTGGGGAGGAGATTAAACAACATCTTTGTGATGGTGTTGGCAGGCTTCTCGGAGATTTCTATTAAGCAATTGTCGTTCTCTCCCTTCCCTGTAGCCTGGGAAACGCTGCGGTGTTGGATTTGTCTTGGTCTGTTTGGGTTGTTGGGAGGGGTGTCTCTCCAGCAGTGGAGTTTGTCCCTCCCTGCCCTGGCTCTGTGTCTCCATGGGGTGGCTGAGCAGGTGGCCTGTGGGGACCACAGCCAGCGCCTGTTTCTGCAGATAAACCATATGCCAGCGCACCCACTCGAGTACAGCAGAGCCTGTGTGGTGGGGAAACCTACAGCTGTGTGGGTGGACAAGAACAAAGCCAAAGGCACAGAAAGGCCTTTATTTTCCACTGAAATCTGGGCAGGGATATCGTGGATGTGGCCTTAGCAGCTCTCTCTGGAGAGCCAACTGTGCACCCACCTGGAGTCGTGCAGGGAACTGGGGGAGCTGGAAGCCAGGAGGGGGTCAGGGCTGCAGCTGGAGGGGCAGCCTCAGCACTGGTAAAAGATGTGGTGGGATCTTTGAGCTGGTGGGGTGCTTGGGGTCTCTCACTTCTGTGCACAGGCCACCAACTCACTTGGCTTGGATGAGCAGTTAGTGCCGACCCAGTGCTCCAACTGAACCTGTGCATGTGGACTTGTCTTTCCAGGTGACCCAGGACAGCCAGAACAAGCAATCTCAAGGCCACACTGCGAGGGCTGACAGCTGAGAGCTGCCTTCTCTGTCTGCTTCAGCCCTACACTGAGGTTAGCAACATTCAAACGTCACTGATTTCCCTTGCCTCATCAGGGCTGTGTGGAGAAACAGGGAACTCTGTGCTCTCCTTCCCTTGGCTCACAGGGATAACTCTGTAAAGCAGATGTCACCCAGGTGAGGTTCTCCCACAGCCAAGGTTTTTTGGGTGACTCCTGCATCCCACCTGGCTGTCAGCATGGCAAAGGGAACCCAGATGTGTGGAACCAGTGCTGCTAAGAGTGCTGAACCATGTACACAGTTGTCAGGAGCTCAAGGGTGATGTGTTCTTAGGGACTTGCAGTCTGTGATGTTTGCCACACTTCTTCTTCTGCTTGCCAGCAGGATTGAATTGAATTGGGAGCATTTCCCAGCTGCAGGCCCCTGCTGTCCTTCACCTGAACCCAGCTGAGACTTTACCCAGCACTTGTGGCAGATGTAATCGTGTTCTCTAATATTAGCATTTGGGTTTCTCCTGCATTTTCCCATGATTTTGTAGCTTGGCTTTGATGCGTGAGGCTCAGAGGAAGTATTTCAGGAGGATCAGCAGTTTTTTTTATTGCCACTGGCAAGAAATATTACCTGCTCCAAGGCAGCCAGCCTGGAGCAGCCTGAGATGGCTGTGGACCTCCTGCCCTGTCCATGGATGCTTGTGTGCCTGCCTAGAATCCAGCAGTGCTTGCCCCACCTGCAGGTGTGCTCTCACCTGAAAGGGAGCCCTCATCAGGACTGTGCTATGGCAGGGCAGGATGAACCCTTCTCTCACTCCAGAGCCCAGGTGTGATTTGGCCAGGAGAGATTATATGGGGAAGACATAGTTTAGGATGCATAGCTGCCCAGGCTCTGCAGATCTTCCTCTGAAGTGTCTGCCAGGAAAGCTGGGACCAATCCAGAGGCAGCTGGAAACTGGGCTTCAGGCCATCTCATCCTTCAGCCTGATGCTGAAGTGGTACCCACAGTGAGTGAGGCAGGGATAGATTTACCTGTGAAGGTGAAAGGAAGGAAAGAAGAAGTCCTCTGCTCCTGCCAGTGCCCTGTGCTGCAGATTACCAATCACACAATGCAGTGAGAGCAGAGCAGCTCCTTTATCCAGCAGGGTTGTGGCATTCACTAGTACCTGTTCCATGGTGGGATTTTATATCTCTGTTCATATATCACCTTACCCAGGTGATATCAGTGAGCTTATATTTGGGCTGAATTAGCAATTTTGGTTCAGTTTAGTGCAGCTGGCGGTAGTCTGGAAACTGATACAACTTGCAGACCTGTGGACAGAATTGCAGTGCCTCTCTTGGGAATGGGGTGGGACCCTGTGCTGGGACACCTAACTACTGGGCAAAGTGGAGTTATTTATATCTTCAACAGAAAGCAGTCAGCCTAACATCCTCCAGGAATCTCTTGGTGAGTGTAGGCTGCCCTTGCCCCAGAGTCTGACCAGCTGATGTAGCACTGGATCGTCTTTCCACTGAAAACCACAAGAAAATGCTGCTTCCTCCTTCAGAACTGGAGCTCTGGGTTCCTTGCGGATATTGGCACTGGAGTTATGCAAGGAATCCCCTATTTGCCCTACCATCTCTGTTGCAAATAGGTCGGGCATTCAAAGATCCTGTTCATGGGAGTGCTGGGACAGCTGGATCCTTGTTCAATTCTTGCTGCGCCATAGATTGGAGCAGAGGATCATCTGCTGAGGCTATTTTAGGTTTCTGAATGCTGCCGGTGTCCCTCTGAGCTCCTATTTGTGTGCAATCCTACAGCTTCCTGCTAAGATCTGTGTGAGAATCCTGTGTCCTCATGTGTGAAGGTTTTGCTTGGCCACAGTGTCCCAGGGATTAGGAAGAACTTTGAATTCCTCACTTACCTCAACTTCTAACCCATATCAGCTGTATCTGTGACTCCTTTTTCTAACCTTTAGCTTTGAACATCCCTTGGACCTTGCTTTGCAGATGCCCACGTGTTGCCTGGTGGGAAGCAGGCTGCAGCTTCCCAATTTTTTTCCTGCCAGAAATGCACATCATTCTTGTTTGCAGCAGTTGATTCCTGTTGCCTCAGATGGGAGCATGTATTGCTGAAAGCAGTCTTCCACAAAACCCTTAGGCATGGAAATACTCCAAAGCCCACGGCTGAGTGGGATGAGATCCTGGTTCTGGCCATCTCTGTATGGTTGGATGGCTACTTGCCATCTGCCACCACCATCCTCCAGCGTGGCACAGGGTGGAGCCTCCTGCCCTCTTCCTTCTCAGTACACCCAAGACTTTTGGCTTCCCTGCACTTTTTGGTTTCCACCTGCTCAGGTAATTTTTCAGCAATGCTGAGCATGGCTGAGTTTCATGTTGAGGCAAGATGTGGCTCTGCAGTTTTGGCCCATCTTTATTTTTAGCTGTGTAAGGCATGGCTGATGGTATCAGAAGGAAGTTGCACGGCCTCCGGAGCTCCATGACTCATCCTGGATCAGGACCGAGGCTTTGCTAGCTTCTGCTATAACCCTCAAGTGATGTAACTGGTTGTGGGAAAGGGCAGAACAGAGAGAGAAGCAGAGCTTTTAGAATTTGGTTTTTTGGGTTTTTTTGCTTGTCTACAAAGTTGTTGAATTTACATGGTGAAAGATATTGATAGGTATTACTCCTGAGTGTGGTTCAAGAGGGTCCTTTGTCTTATGTCTTCTGTCTTGTGCCTGTGTGAGAGAGGTGAAAGGGAGAAGAGCTCTGCTTACCACCAGGCTGGGTAACTGTTTAGAGGCACATAGCAACAGCAGGGGAGAGTTTTTAAGGCAAGAAACAAGACAGAGGATCTGTCTCTGATTCAAGCCACAGTGAGATTTGATGCAGCAGTACAGACCTGCCTGAAGTAGAAACTGTCTGGAACTGGAGAGCAGAGGCTTAGGAGTGCCTGCCAGGATGCAGCAAGAAGAGTCTGTGACCCCCATTCCCATCAGATCTGGTGCTACTGTAGAAAGAGCTCCTGGGGCTTTCTGACCTGCAGGCAGCTGTGTTGGGCTGGACTGGAGAGGGGCTGCATGTCACCCCCATGCAGCAGGCCCTGTGGGACAGCTGAGGATCTTGAAGCATCCCTGCCTGCCACAGGATGAAGGAGATGCAGTTAAAAAGGCCTCTATTCCCCAAATCTGTCAGCGTGGCTCTCCTGTGCCTTGCCTTGAGAAGAGACAAGGTGGGGTGCAATGCACCTGGGTCCCGAGGAGGGTCCTTGCCCCTGAGGTGGGCAGGGATGAGGGCTTGTGAGAGTGGGCTTCCACAGGTGCCCCTTTTACTTCCTTGGTGAAGGTGCTTCCTTTGAGGAGTATATTGAGGCTTTTGGGTGTTTCATGTGTGAGTAGAGGACAAGCAAAGGGGAACAGAGACAGGGAGAAAGGGGAGCATGCTGCCATTGCTATGGCAGCTTGCCACTGGCAGTGTCACTGACAGGGCAGAAAGGCAGTCGGGCACATGTGGAAGGTGCCACAGCCCTCAGTGCAGCCCAGTCCCAGCTCTGCCATGGGATTGGCACCCCGGGACTCCTGCCTGACAGTCTGGCATCTGGAGCTGCTCTCCTCTGGCAGCAGCCTCAGGGTGAGTGGTCAGGGGTGTTTTGTCCATCCTCTCCCCTCTTTCGCCCCTCTGCTGGGGTGTGGGCAGGCAGCTCCCATTTACAGCCCTGTTTGTTTTAAAGCCCTGAGCTGCAGAGCAGGCCCAGCCAGGAACAAACCAGTCTCTTGATCCCTCTCACTGTACCATGGAAGAAAGCGAGTCACTCTGCTGCCCTTGCTTATCCCCAGTTAATCAACGCCAGTGGCTCCAGCCAGGACTGCAGCTTCCCAGGATGCCTGGCCCTGTGCTGTGCTGTTCCGTCCACCTTGCACAGCCAGTTTGCCTTGCTCCAGGGTGAGTGTACTCAGGGAGAGAAGACACTCTTGTGACCCCTCTGATATGGTCTAAGACAGGCCTCTGGGGCAGGCAGAGGAGAAGTTAAACATTTTTGAAGCTTCCTTTGGGTAGACCCCTTACCAGATACTGGTAAGAGAGCTGGCTCCTGTTGGTGAAGGGGCAATCATGCACTCACTAGCAGAGGGAGTGGGTCAGGAAGCCATTTCCAGCCTGGCCATAATGTGAGTGTGACTGAGACCTGACCTGTCATCCATGATATGCCTAAAGGCCTGGATGTAAGCCAGGGAAAAGGACCTGCTGGCGGCAAGCACAGCTTGCTCGTGTCAACATGGATGGCTGTGTGAGCTGTAAACCTCTCTCATTACACCTCTCAAAGGTCACTGCTGGCAGCGAGCTACAACAGCCTGCCCACAGCTCTGTGCCCAGCCCAGAGTGAGAGGGGAACAATGCTCTTGAAGATGCATGGAGGCTGGTGGTGTGGGCTTGCCATGGGGTGGCACACGCTGCTCTGGTGCCTGTGGCCAGAGTCTGTCTGGGACTGGGGTGTTCAGTCAAAAATGGATGGGAAAGGATGCCTGTGAGCTACCCAAGTAGATCTGTACTCACAAATGTCATAATCCTTGCCTGAGCTGTGACCCCTCCTTTCCAGGGTACAAGGCCTCATGTATTGCCCTGAAACCATTTCACTCTTTCCAGTATGCCCTGGTGTCCCTCTCTGATGGAGGCTTACTGTAAGATCTGTATGGACTGCCCACTTCTCTCCAGTTCTGCAGTTTCAGTCATCTTAAAAGTCCCTAATAGTCTAGACTTGTTTGCACAATGTTCCCTGGACTCCAGACCCTGGTGTTCCCAAGGGAGAGCAAACAAGGAGGTGGAACCTGGAACACGGAGGCTCTGGGAAAGCCGCCTGTGGGGGACAGCAGTCTGCTTCCTCCCTCTCGCTTCCAACAGGTTCCTTCTGCTTTCAGAGGGGAGCAGCTTCCTCTGCACTGGGGGCTGGAGCTTCCTTCCCATGGAGGAATCTGGGACACTGGTACCTGACACTGAAGGCAGTTTTGGGTCAGCAGCTCGAGCGCTGCTTCCCATATATGTGACCTTCAGCACTTGTGTGAGAGTTGGTGTTACATTTTATTATGGGT